ATTGTCTCAGTCCTAAGAAGCATAAGAAGACCAGCAGTGTCTATCCGTCTTTTCAAAGACCATTTAGTATATTTAAGTTAATACTTTACAGAATGTCACATTTTCCACTCTAAATTATGTAGAAAATTCCAGGTTGCAGAAGTACTCTTGTCAGACAAAAGGAGTAATTTTGCTTTACTGAAGGACCTGCATCATAGTATCATCTTTTACTAAAAAAGAAAACCCCAAACAATATAATTGGCATTCATGACAAACTGCTTAAATGCTCTTAAGTTCTGTCTGGCCTCAGAATAGCTGAACATTACCTAATGTATCTGCTCTCCATCCCAATTTTTATATTTTAAAAGTAATTAAGTTCTTGAATGAATCATTAGGAAAACACGTCAAATGCTGTTAAACTGATTGTAATTTTGCCTCATAGGATAGATGTGACCTTAATGTTTGCAAACAGCCAAATTCTTTTAAGATTTACACTCCATGGAGTTCAATATCAGTCGGGGAAGAATTACTAAATCAGGATGTACTTCAAGTACAGGTTTTGGCCCAAGACTATTTTTGGTCTTCTTCAGCTGTTTGTTTTGACAGCATCTAATCCCCCTCACACACCCACCAGCAGCCACACAATCTATCCATTTACACTTTCAGAGCAAATTGAAAATTAAACATTCTCAAATAATTACTTGTGGATATCTGTAATACAAATCCAAAAAGTAACTGCAATTCAACTGTAATATTTCTTAGGGAGAAGGGACAGGGATAAAACTCTTACAGAAATCCATTCAAAATGGAACTTTTTCCTACACTAAAGTTCTCACCATCACCCCATAAAATATTTAAATTTTAAAAAAAATTAAAACTAACTCCCAAAGAGCTTATCTACTCTCTTTCCCAAATTCCCATCAGAAACACAACAGTTTCCATGTTCAGAAGACTTTTCATTTAGTGAGTTATCACAAACCCTGCTAAAAGAACAGTAACTGAGAAGGTCTTCTGCAGGGCACAAGGTAAAGAGGGAAGCAGGAAGGTGGGTGAAGAGGGGGAAATAGCAAGGGCTGGAACTGAAACAGTTCACCATTGTCTGGAGAGCAGGATCACCCCCTCCAGGTTGAGGACTATGATGAAAGAGTGTGCTGCTGTGGCATGCAGTGTGTTTCTACATTCACACATGAGAGGAACCTGGCCCACAGATGGCCTGTTCTCAGCTTTGTCAGCCACAAACAGACCTTTGAACTTTCTATTTATGTAACAGTTTAGTGAGTTTAAGCCTCTTCCTGTATAACTGGCAGTTTGCTGGTTTTGCTGTAATTAGGCTACTTGTGATACATAATATAAAATAGGAAAAAAACAAGTCTTTGTCCTTGCAACCACGCAGCTAAGACAACACTATTACCTGCTCATTCTACCTCACCAGATTTTGATTTACATACCTCAATATGAATTTTTCTGCTAAGTATTTTCTCAACTTCCACTTTTTTAAAGATTGGAGGACTTAAAAATATGAATACCTACAACATAAAACATAAATGCCTTTGTTTGTGCTAGTGAGGAGTATATATTCTGGGGTGGTTGGGTCTTGGTTGAGTTTTGTTGTTTCCCAGCTGCTGATTAATGACACCACTTTATACTGTAAGCAGGTTCAAATCTAGCCACGTGGTCCCAGGCCACAGCAAGATTTCATTTACTTGGTTACCACAGACAAGCATGGAAAGTGATTTAAAAGATGAAATTTGATTTTTAACAGCAAGTGGTCCCCTTGGTGCACACAGGCATTCAAGCTTTTCATTATATCCATCTCCCTTCCTTTCTCCCTCATAGAATGGCTCATATTAAACGCAAGCCCAGGTGAGCACTTCTTATTCATTCAGGAATCATAGCAAACTTCAGCTCTGGCCCTTTCATCTCATCCTGAGTTTACATTTATTTAAATTGTTTTGTGTATTTTTTAGTTTTTTCAAGTCTGGCAAAACATCCACAAGGATATTTGTGGCCATATTTTACACATTTTACCCCAGTGTTAACAAAAACCCCCACACCAACTCTCAGCTACCTTCCTAATCATATTCTCAATGAAGGGTCAGTGAAACACCTCATTCTTGTACTACGGCAACCTCTCCTAATATAGGAAACTAAAAAGCTGATTCTGCAGTTTGTATCATCAAGACAAAGCTCCCTCTAATAATTTGGAAGGTCAGGTGAGAATTTCAGCATGTGTAGTGGTACTGCATGCTGTAGCAATCACAGCTCTTGACAAAATATGTTTCAAGAAGTGACATAAAAATGTACCTCCATTGGAGGTGGAGAGAAATTAACTGTATTGTTCCCATCAATGAGTAACTTTCACAAAGTCATTTCCTGGTATAAAGGCAAGGCAGAGAAAGTTTACCTTTACATCTTTTCATCAGATTAAAAAAAAAAATTCTGCTCAAGCTATAAATATGTTTTTAATATATTTCTCAGGCTAACAATGTTTCTGTTGTACTTCGCATACAGATAATACAAACACCCACACACACAGTAGGCCTGAGCTTGCCTTCTTAGTGATTGCAGCACAGATTAGGAGAAGTTTTGGGTTTGCAAGGAATGCAGAAGAGGGTCCCTAATTGCCTTATAAATGCTTGTGAAACATGTTTTACAAAGGCCAGCTCACAGGCAAAAGGAGGGCAACTTCAAAATAATAAGCAACAATTCACACATCACGTTATACATACTTATTTGCAAATGTTACAAAGCGACCACACCATATTGGATACACAGACAAAATTAATAAATCTTGATGGATGCACATGCATATTCCTGGGTGTGTAGAGATGATGTATGTATAACATATTACATACACACACATGTTCATTGACAGAGGAGCTAAATTTAATTCTCTTTCAGCTACACAACTACTTGTCAGAGACAAGAATATTTACATGTATAATAAAATACATGTCACATTTGTGTAGACATGCAGATTATGTACCCACATATTATATATGCACTTAAATATACTTATTGGATTATTAAAAGCTAAATGCAACTTAATCTTTGCAGTGAGTGTGTGTGAACGCCTGTGTCACATAGAGTTTGAGCAGATATCAAACTGTTTGAAAAAATCAAAAAATGTTCTCTCCTCATGAGCCCTAAAAACACTAAAAACAATACATTTCATGGTACAAAAAACCAGCAAATAGAATTTTAGAATGAGGGACAATATGTTCATATTTTATGGAAAAACCAAGGCACAAGAGTTCCCTTCCTTCTGATGCACAGCTCTAAATCCACATAAAATCGTAGTCAAATGAAAGTTCCTAAGCAAACACTAAAACTCAATACCTGTAAATACCTCGTATTTGAACTACACTCACATATTGGGTTGTAACAGCTTCTTAAATTAATTATTAAATTAATGTTGCCCACATTATAAATTAGGCAAATTGTATGCAAATATTATTTGAGTGGTAATACGGTGGTTATCAGTTGTCTGCAAAATAAATTAGTGTAGCAGAGTAAAGATAGTGTAGTAGAAGCATAATATTTAATTGAGCACTAATTTTATTGTGATTATTACTTTTAAATAACAACAGCATGATTATTAAAAAGATGTAATACAATGGATTATGCAGAGCTGATAAAACATGCACATGACCCAAAACGCCTGCTCACAGATTAATATTGATATAGTGTAATTTATGGTTGACGAGGATTTACTTCCAATTGCTGTAAAATGGAACGTGACAGCTATTTGGTTCCGATTACCATGGATTTGCAAGAATAGCTGTTAGACCATGTTTGGCAAAATAATAGTTATTAACAAGATATATTACCTTTTTCCTAGGCATACCTTTATATTATCAACAAAGTAAAGTAAACCTTCTGCAAAACACGAGGTCCAAATGCACATATATACACACATATAATCTATATGGCATTTAGAGATTAGGATCACAAAATACAGTATTTTAGTCTCTTTCTTCCTTAGCAAACTGCACTCCAGCCTAAAAGCTGTAACAAAGCAGTACCCAACCCCTGAATTTCCCCATGCATAGTTAAAGAATTATATTTGCGAAATTTAAAAGTAAAGAAAGAGCAAATAAAACCAGCCAAAGAATAAGCATAATCCCATTAACCAGCCAGGGAAGTGACTAAATACCTACCAAAATTCTAACTTTGCAAGCTACTTGTCACCCATCAAAAATTCCTTAGCAATCACTTTGATAACAAGCTTACAATGCACTTAAACAGATGCACCGACCTTTTTAAGGTGTGCACCTATTTACAGAACAATATAAACCTAAAATTCCACTCCTAAAATAAATGGAAAGCAAGAAAAGAAAAATAAGGCAAAGACGGGCAGGAAAAAAAAAATACATGTTACAACATCACGGCTACTGAGCTTCCCACTTCTAAAACTAACTTCAATAATGCTTCATCTAGAATAGGAAACCAGTAAAACCAGAAACAGAAGCCCCTACACCGATCAGGGCTATAGCCGAACTGTGCCACACAGCGAAACTACAGTTGCGGTTCTCCCCGTGAAAGGAACATTGTCAGTGACAGCAGTAAACACAACATTAGCAGAGCCGCGATCCCGGGGAACATCGCCACCCCTGCTCGGGAGGGGGCTGCCACCGCTGATCGAAGCAGGCACCCGGCACCTCTCGGCGCTGCCCTGCGGACCAACTTCGCCCCCCGCCGCCGCGCTCCGAGCGCTGCTCCCCAGCCGGGGCCAGCGGCGCTGGCGCGGAGCGTGGCTGGAGCCGGCCGGCACCGGCTGCCCCGGCCGGCCCCGCTGCCCGCGGGCGCAGCGCGGACCCGCTCCCCGCTGGCACCGGGTGCTTCGCCCCTCAACAAAGGCTACGGCACCGAGGGAGCGAGCAGGGAAGGGTAGGAAAGAGGCAGCTGGAAGAAGGAGAGGGGTGGAGAGACGGGGAGGGGAGGTGGTGCGCGGGGGGGGGGG